AGTACACCAATAATAAACAAATGAAGGTTGTCGTAAAAACGATCTGCACCGCGATACCGACGACTTCCGATCTCGATAAGTACTTCTTTGTGTGCCCTCTTGATTCCCCACACCGAATAAGCGGCGGCTCCCACAAACCGCCGTTGCCATGAAACTTGGAGGAAGCTTTGGGTAGGGATTATGGAAAAGAGATTTAATTTTGGTGGCCTTTTGGTTTGCTGTCTCGATGGTGGTGAAGATGCAGAATTGTCTATGATTTGGTGAGAGAAAGAAATCATGTTTATTCTTTATCGATTTGGTGAGAGAAAGAGATTATGCAATTGTATTTTCCTTATTAAATACTGTTGAAATACGGTCGCCACATCATATTATTTTAATTAAGAAAAAAGTAGATATGAAGATAAGTTTATTTTCTCGTATTTGTAAAAATAATCATAGAAAGAATAGCAGATGGTGTAATTTTCTCATGAATTTTCTATAATGATAGCACTTAATTTTTCATTTTCTATTATTTTTTGGGGTAGGTTTTCCCGTGTAATGTAAAATTTGCCCCAATATGGACATCCCAAAGTTACATTTAGATGTGTTTTGTACATAAATATATTTATTCGAGATTTTTTTTGGAAAATTGTATCATTCGCTCGGATGTTTTAACCGTTGGATTATCTATCTTATCTAACTATACGTAGATTCAATGGTTAAAACACCCGACGGGATAGTACCGTAATGGGACCATAACATATCCCAATTTTTTAATATTTTATAATACAGGTTGAATATAAATATTTATCCTTATTTAAAATTATATTTTAATTCTCAATTTATTTTACACTATTCATAATGTAATGTACTTGTTAACTGGATTAATTAAAAATAATAACCCAAAAGATTAAATAAACCATAAGAAAAACATATTTCTAAAACCACAAAATAATACTATTAATTATGCATAACGTGCAACACACGTGCACTTTACTAATTTATTAAAAAAAAAAAAGACATCAATAGTAATTACAAATTTACCACTTCATAGAAAGGACCTCCAAAATTGCATATATATATTTATATCACAAGCACTAAGTTATGAAGAGACAAAAAACCCTCCTATGATGCTGCATGAAACAACACCATAAGATGTAGTTTTAGTAAATCTCAAGTATTAAATCAGTATTTAATGCAAAACTAATTCACATCCTCTACTCTTTCGACCGATGATCAAGAACACGAGTATGAATAATTGCAGCAGCAATCGCAAACGACTGCAAAGCAGACAGAGTCGACTGGAAATGGATACAGTACAAACCCTCGTGAATGTTCGACATTTTGAATATCGGAACATCTTGTTTCGATCCCTGTAAAAACAATTAAACGAGAGTACACGGTTAATATGGAAATTTGCAGACCACAATAGGTGATTAAAAAGCTGAAGTTTGAAAGTGAAGATGATTTACAGAGTCAGCTGGAACTTGGATAAAGCCTTTGAGCATAGGTTTGATTAAAAGAACATCTTTCAATGAGAATTTTAACTAGTTTACCATCATATAATCATAGCAAGCACACATTAAATTTAGCCACACTATTTAATAATCCAAAACCTCATCACATAATCAACAAGCACTCATCATCAGATCAACAAGAAGTAAACAGTTTATCATAACACACACACACACACAGAGTAAATTTATTGACAAACCTGTTTAAAGAGATCAACCGACTTACAATCCCCCAAATTATCCACCAGATACGATGAATTTGAACCAGTGGGCCCCACGTTGAGAACCGTTAGTGGGCAGCCTAAATCCCAGCCACCACAGTCACACACCCCACCGGAAGCCCACCTCTCGACAAGACTCGAGGGCCCATCACCTCCCATTCTCCCTCCCCCATGAAAACCCACCGGAATCAAAACATCCAAACTCCTCCTCGACCACTCCTCTTCGTAATTCCCCATGCGCTCGGAGGACGAAAGCGTCTTTAGAGACACATCTTTTCCAGATTTTTCCAAGAATTTCAACCCCCAACCCCCAATGCTATCCTTCTTACTACTATTTTTCTTATATCTGTCCTTTACTATAATGGCAGCCAACTCTAGGTTTTGCTGCACGCAATCATTTTCCGATCTCATCTCCTCGAAAATGGCTGAAGATGGCCTCTGTGTACACGAGTGGCTCGACCGGAAAACTTTCGCCACCTTACTCACAAATCTTTGATTCCTCTTTCTATTATGATTCGAGATATGCAGATCATCCATACAATGATCCTCACCAGAAAGAGACAGGACAAACCGAGTCTCCTTAACTTCAGATGAACTATTCGGACATAACATTCTTGAGGTCCACACTTTCATTGTGCATAGGATATGCGGCAGCTCAAGTTCTTTCTTTCCTTTCATTCCCGAGCTGAAAGTGTAAATATACTCAAAATCCTTATCACCTTTCGATGGCTCGGCTTTCGACAGGCTGCTGGAGTACACCTCTGCCTTACCATCCACGCTAAAAACAAAAGAGGGTATCCCATCTTTCCACTTGCAATGCAACATTCCTTGAAAAGACGACTTTTCTGAATAACTCGTGTTCATGCTTGATATAGACATAGCCCTTTTATGATCTGGTGGGTATGCGCAACTTTTTTTGGGATTAACAACCATTACCTTGTTTTCAGGCATTGAGTTACTTGGCTCACGCAATGAGTATGGTAAATGGGAATAAACTGGCTCGAGTAAATGTTTTACCCGGATATTGGCGCCAAAATCAGTTGAGCCGAAATTTTGAATCGAAGGCCTATTCAGTATGTTGATTATACTCTGGCTACCTGTGTTAATTCCTTGCTTAGCCCCCATATCATGTGGACCTATAATTTTGGTTTGGGCTAGATAAGTCCAGTCATCGAGCGGGATTTGCACTTTGGAGGCAAAATTAGAGGCAGCTGCTCTTAACGCGTAATTACGTAACAATTCAAGGCAATGCAGGACATACTTTTCGTCAAAGGTTGTAATATGTTTAGGAATACCACTAAGATGAATACCGTTAGTTTTTGGAAGGAATATGTCCTGGCAACTACTTGAACTGGATCTTGATCTCATAACATTCGGTATTGAAGTGTGATCGTGATCTACTTCAATTGCGCATGTATTCGAGACCTTCGCCACATTTTCCTCAATTTCGTTATCTTTGGGCACATTCATACTCGAATAATTAACTCGAAGCTTCTGTTAGGCAAAAACCCTCTTAGGGTAAAGAACAAACGGCAGTATTCTGGCTGTTTGGCAATTGATACTTAATTTCGAGTTCGACCAACCTGAAAAACAGATTGAACAAAATCAGGGAAAAAAGTTGATGAAAAGGCAGTCCCCCATTCCATACGAAACAGAGAACATAATCACAAGATCAAGCATTTGAAATATAAATGAAGGAAGAAGAAGACATTTCGTTAAATTGCCACGGAAAAGCACGAACGTTACACATTACGACTTGCAAGACAATTAGAACACTAACACTTGACAGGAAACACAACTAACAAATGTTAAGGAATCGGTAAAAACTGCGAACCGAAATTTGTCGACCGGGGGGGAAGAGTTATGGACTATGAAACTCTTGTTGGGGTTAATTAATCAATAGAAACAAGTATAAAATTTTGAATTTTTTGAACTGTCTAGTTACACTTGCTGGTTCATACAGGCTCTTGATAAGATACGAAACTAGACCAGAAGAAAAGGAAACAAAAAATTGATTCGATATGAATATGATCAACTAAACTTCTACTCAACACAAAAGTCAAAAATCCAAAAATAAAAAAATAAAAAAATAAAAAAATGACCAAGAACAATTCAGCAAATATTGCAGAGGGAAGTCCCTAAAACCTTTCCAATAAAATTCAAGACCCTTTTACTTCACTAAATTCACTAGAAATTTAATGACAAACTCATAAATGCACTAACTTTATCACCTAAGACAATCGAACTAAGAGCTTTATTAAAGCCCGTAAGCCAACCCAACCCAACAGTTTGAAGCAACCCCCTGCTTGATTCATCTTCACACAAAGAGTCATAAAAAGAAACTAAATCAAAGAAAAAAGACCCTTTTAAATGTCATTTCAAAACCATACCCACAAAGTATCTATAAGGAAAAAAATTACCAAACATATCAAGAAAAACAACGCACGCAAGCTTAAAGTCAAGGGAGATGCTATGCTCGGGGTTCGTAACCGTTAGATCAACTATCCCGACGATTACATGATGATCTAACGGTTATAAATCTCGACGAAATGGTTCCATAACGGGATAAAGGTTAAATTCCAGCAAAAAAAGAAAAAAGGGAGAAACTTTACATACTCTCTCTCACATGGATGGTCTCCAAGATTATTAAGTTTTTCACCTGCCCACCACCTCGGACCTCCCAATGGTTCTTTTCATCAACCCACTATTGGAAATAACTGATTTTACAAATCACAGTTTGATGTTCTGAAGCATAGGCTGAGATGTGGAAATGGAGAAATTCAAAGGAAAGAAAGAAAGAAAAAATGTCACAGAAAA